GTATGTAGCCTAGGCAGAGTGTATTAGAGTTGCCACGAATAGTGATTTGGCCGAATACCGAATACTGAATATTCGGCAACGCTGTCGGCCGAAGCGCCGAATATTTGGCGGCCGAATATTCGGCACAAAGTACATGCTAGTCGAGTGCGTAAATAATAATACGACAGGTTGCGACCTGTCTGTCGTGTCCTCTTGAAATACACGACAGTGTCTGGAACTGCTTTGAGGAAGTCGCTAAAGATAATTATGCGAAATAGTAATGATGAGGAGAACGTGGAGAAGAATAATGTGGCAAATGAGATGGATTTTTATTTGAAATCAAATCGACTACATCGGAAAGCTGATCCTTACAAGTGGTGGTCAGCTAATGAAAAACAATACCCAAACCTCTCGAAATTTGCTAAAGTTTATCTTTCTTCTCCCGGGAGTAGCGTGTATAGTGAGNTAGGTAGGTACGTAGGTTTAACTCAGAAAAACTAAATAACAGGTAGGTATTGCGTGTACATCGAAATGATCTTCATAGCAATGTCTTGTATGTAGCCTAGGCAGAGTGTATTAGAGTTGCCACGAATAGTGATTTGGCCGAATACCGAATACTGAATATTCGGCAACGCTGTCGGCCGAAGCGCCGAATATTTGGCGGCCGAATATTCGGCACAAAGTACATGCTAGTCGAGTGCGTAAATAATAATACGACAGGTTGCGACCTGTCTGTCGTGTCCTCTTGAAATACACGACAGTGTCTGGAACTGCTTTGAGGAAGTCGCTAAAGATAATTATGCGAAATAGTAATGATGAGGAGAACGTGGAGAAGAATAATGTGGCAAATGAGATGGATTTTTATTTGAAATCAAATCGACTACATCGGAAAGCTGATCCTTACAAGTGGTGGTCAGCTAATGAAAAACAATACCCAAACCTCTCGAAATTTGCTAAAGTTTATCTTTCTTCTCCCGGGAGTAGCGTGTATAGTGAGAGGTTGTTTTCTGAAGCTGGTATTATTTATGATGAAAAGCGTAATCGTTTGCTACCGTCAAATGCTGAAAAGCTTGTTTTTATCCATCACAACTTACCGCTGATTAATTTTACTTATTAAAGTATTGTAATTTGATAATAAAGACAAATCTTGATTAATATGATGTGTCTTTTTTTTCCATGATTTGGTATTCGGTATTCGGCCGAATAGTACCTATTATTCGGCCGAATACCGAATACCAAACAAAGTGGCCGAATAGGCCGAATACCGAATAGTAGCCGAATATTCGTGGCATGTCTAGAGTGTATCTGCCTCAGCTATACCTTATTGTTAGAAGTAAATAAATTAATACTTATACATTTTTATATTTTACTTGGAAGAAGACAACACTTTATGAACACTTTATTAGAATAAATCGCCAAATACACCACCGCGGAGACCCCAATCGCGTCTCTGCGTTCCATTGATTCGTATGAGCGTATGGATTTTTTGCGTTATTTTTCACAATTTCTATTTTTAAAAATTACCTATCGATAGCTTACTTTATTCTGATGAATAAATGTCATTACAAGTTTTTCTCTAAAACTGATAGTTTGGCTAGAAAAAAATATTTTCTATCCACACAGTACGCCGGCAGCGTTCGGATCGGATATAATGACGTCATCGTCCCCGCGCCGGGCGGTCAGTGAACTTTTTTAGTAATTTGGCCATAACTTCGTCAATTTTTGTCGTAGAACAAACATTTTTGGACTGTGTATTAAGGATTTCTTAGCCCTATAAATCTACATTCACAGCTAAAAATCGAAATGATCCTCATTGAGATTTCCTCTGACCGGGGGCCCCTTCGGGCTGGGGGCCCGTGGCATTTTGCCGACTTGCCACCCTATAGTTACGCCACTGACAGTAGATATAATAACCATGCGGTACGTGAATTCAAGAATATACATCTGAAATATAAAATTAAGCACACACAAACACATATTTCTTTGCAAACTGCTGGACAGTTCTAGAGTATCTAATTTATGTTACGAAAACGAAGTTTTAGACAGTGACTGGGTGACCTATCTATTTACACTGACCTCGATCAATTTTACTTAAAACCTATATAAAATGGCTATCTTACACACAATAGAAGTTGAGCAATATAGTTTTTTTTTCATTCTAGTTATTTATGAGGTCCACGCGTAGTCTCAATACTTTATAGGTCTGAAATATGTCAGGTCCGATAACAGATGTTCCACGCTTGAAGGACCTCGAATAAGTTTTATTTGCCCACAGAATATAACCTCAATGCTACTTGTACTTATATATCACATAGCTTACACTTGGCCTATTATTAAATATTAGGTTAACCTACAGGTTAAAGGGAGGACAAGAATTTTCTATTAAGGCCCGATTCGACCAAACTTTTATCCGAGAATAACTCCTTGTATAACTGGCACATTGACAGTTTCAGTATGGGAAATATGTCAAAACTGACGATTTTTTCTGAGATTAATATTTACTCTTGTTTGGTGGAATCCACTCTAAGTGTGATTATTATCTACTCGTAATACCTATGGATAGCACTCAGTACACGCATTCCTTTGAGAATCCAATATCTTAGGCTCGTTTTGGGACCTAAACAACCAAAAACACCTATTCATTTTTAGGTCAGTCAATATGCGTTCAAAGTACTCTGAACACTTAATTTAACTTTTAGCAGTCATTTGTTAAATAGTAACGCTACGCAAATAAAGAAAACTGAAATAGCCTTTTCTGGGATTGCAACGGTCGGGTCGGGCAAACGGGTCGCATGTAAGTGTACTCACTACTCAATTCGTCTCCATAAAGTAAAGTAGAGTCACACAGTTAATATACCTAACAGAGTCCTAGTTGAAGAGCTACTTAGGATGTGCCTTATTAGATTACTGATGCCCGTTTTCAGCATCAATCCCTAGTTTTTAAGTGACCCCTTTGAAAACAAAATTCCTGAGTGCTACCATAGGGGTCACTTAAAAATTAGGGATTAATGGTGAAAACGGGCATGAGTATCTTAAGCTCAGCTGAGCCTTTTAGTGGCAGTCATAATTATTTTCTTATTGTATAATATAACGTAAACAAATGCTTTACGGTACCTAACTCATTTCTATAATTTTCTATTTTATAGTAGCAGTGCGACCGACTTACCTTATAAACAAAGGCCATTTAGTGATGTTTGTAGCCAGCTCAGCGTTTGACTTCTCAGGGATGCCAGTGAAGGTGTAATAGCAGGTGATCCCGAAGGTGACCAGAAGGCAGAGGTTGGCGACCATCGAGAATGGCACGAGGAACTTGAGGTATCGGATCTGAGTGATGAGGATGAGTGGGATGAGCAGCATCCCGCAGTAAGCGATGATGGAGAACTTGTGCTCGGGGAAGAAGTGATCGAAGATCTGGGGAAGAAAGAGTAGCAGTTAAGAAAGTTACCTATCTATTGTTATTGTGAAAAATCTTAAACGTTAAAATAACGGTATCGTTATTGACGAAATGTTAATGTCACAATAGAAACTTCAGAATAGAGTTTGTGCTAAGTGATGAATGAATTATTGTATTTAGAATAAGGCAATAACCCCCTTACTAATAAAATATACACGCTCGTTGAACAGTGTTTTAAAGTGACGTTTAGTATGGATATGACATGTCATTTTTAAACAGTGTTCAACAACTGTAACTTTTTATTAGTAAGGGGGTAAGAATGTAAAAGTAAGGATCCAGTGTTTTATTTATGAGAATAGGTCTACCGGCCTCTAATACTATCTTTGCCTTAGCTTTGGGTTCATCTTCGAACATAGGCCTCATTTTCAACCTTGCACCGACTTCTGTCCCTGGCCACTTGTATCCAGTTTATTCCAGCTTATTGCCGGATGTCATCTGTCCACCGTTTAGGCGGTTTTCCTCTACCGCGGGTGTTATTGCGGGGTCTCCATTCCAAGGTCATTTTAGCCCAGCGATCGTGGTTCATCCGTGCAATGTGTCCTGCTCATCTCCATTTACGGCTCTCAATATCTTTGAGGATAATTGTGGGACCATTGTGGGAAGTGAATGCAGAATAAATTATGCAAATGATTTACGCTCGTGTAACCTCACCTTTTCTTACAGTTAAACAGAGACATGGTACATGATGTAAGAGAAATTTTTATTTCATTATTAAACAGAATTACAGTTTTCAGTCCCCTTGTAACTTAGTTCGCCAAAACAATATCAGACGGAGTGACTGAGAAAAGCTATTGGATTTGTAATAATAACTTCTAACGGATTGAATTCCAGAAGTTTCTGGAGTTTCTGTTGCACTGAATAAACTTCGGTTACGGGGAAAACCTCAAAACTAAGCCTTTGCGGCTTCGTAAGAAGGTATTGTAGTTTTGAGCCAGCTTAGTATCAGAAAGTAGTGTTGTATTGTAATTTATGTATTTACTGCAGTATCGATCACTCCCGTGATCGATACTGCAGTAAATACATAAATTATGCAAGTCTATTTTGAAATAAAGACAATATCAATAGCACATTTGTGACGGATTCAGTTTTGTAAATCTCTTCGCTACTCCTCTTTCAAGTGAATAATTTGCTCCGTGAAGCGGGCGTGAAATTGAATCTCACTCAATTTTACATTGTCTACGAAGGCAGAACACTACATATTTTCGTTGAAAATAATTTGCATGGTGACACTTTTGTATTTTTGCTCAAAATAATATGCCCGCTATCGTATGATCAGTCGTAAATTCTTCAGTATCAAATTATCGTTATATGGCTATATAGGCCAGTAGAATTAAACACAAAAATGAATTAAATCGGAAATAATTCCTAGTAAAGATTTGAGTGCTTTAATGGCTTCATTAGTTGCCCATAAAGACTCTCCTAGGTTTTAGACTTCGACGGAGTTGTGCTTAAGTGGTGGGGGCCCCCGAAAGGGGCGCTTTTTCGGTTTTCCGGTTATACCGCGTAAAGGACTTACCCTATCGAAAAGTGGTCTTCCTGACGGTTGAAGGGCATTTAATCCTGCATTAAATAAGACCAAATTCATATGTTTTGAACAAATCGTTCTCGTGCAAATGTTCGGCAAAGTACAAAATATGTTTATAAATAATGACCCTCTCCACGTCCAATGGCTCGTTACCCGCAGGCTTCCAAGTCTTGAAAAGGAGCGCCTCAACCAGTGTAACCCTATCAAGGCTTATGAGCTTGATGCGCCTATTCTTGTTCGTCCCAGCCGTTCCTTAACTGCGGTTGCTGCACCTCTTCCTGGCACTCACCTGAACGACTCTGTGTTACCTACTGTGGCTGCCCCTCTTCCTTGTATCCTCCTGCACGACTACGTTGCCTAGCCGTATGCCTGGTCTAAGGTTCGACGCCAAAAATCAACAACAACAAGTTCATATTAAAACGCTGAAGAGTTTTTTGTTTGTTTGTTTGAACGCGCTAATCTCAAGAATTACTAGTTTAATTGAAATAATTATTTTTGTGTTGAATAGCTCATAAATTGAGGAAGGTTATAGAATATATTCAATCACTCTACGACTAATAGATGCGAAGCAGTAAAGAAAAATGTTGCAAGCACGGAAAATAGTATTTAAACTATTTTCACGCGTATGAAGTTGATTTTGTGGCGTCGAATCTTGGACCAGGCATATGGCTAAGCAATGCAATCGTACAGGAGGGTACAAGGAAGAGGGGCAGCCACATTAGGTAACATAGAGTCGTTCAGGAGAGTGCCAGGAAGAGGTGTAGCAACCGCAGTTAAGGAACGGCTGGAACAAACAAGGATAGGCGAATCCAACTCGTGAGCCTTGACAGGGATACGCTGGTTAAGGCGACCCTTTACAAGGCTTGGGAGCCTACGGGTGACGAGCTATTGGACGTGGAGAGGGTCATTAATTATACACATATTTTCTACTTTGCCGAACATTTGCACGAGAACGGTTTGTCCAAAACATATGAATTTGGTCTTATTTAATGCAGGATTAAATGCCCTTCAACCGTCAGGAAGACCACTTTTCGATAGGGTAATTCCTTTACGCAGTATAACCGGAAAACCTAAAAAGCGCCCCTTTCGAGGGCCCCCACCACTTATGCACAACTCCGTCGAAGTCGAAAACCTACGAGAGTCTTAATGGGCAACCAATGAAGCCATTAAAGCAATAAAATCTTTTGTAGGAATTATTTCCGATTTAAAATCTAATTCTACTGACCTAATAGTATAGAAGAGCATTTATAAACTTCTCTCTCTATTAATAAAAATAAAGCTTAACCCATTTCATATTTTGTATTTCTATCTAGAAAAACGTTTTACAATTTTATTTAGACGCTGTTAAATTTAATTTGTTACGTTTTAATACGTCAACAGAAAAAAGAGTTTTCAAATTTATAGTCACTCCGTCAGCTGGCTATATCTGTACTCATTTATCACCTATTTCGATCTAGATTTAATTATGATAAACCTAGTCCTGTGCGAGGGTAGATTGGCTATTAGCATGTCAGAATGGAAATGGAGGCTCGGTTCAATTGTCAAAGTCTTTAGCTCTACTTATTTACGCAGGGCCTGTGAGCGAAGAAGAGTTGTGAGCTAAACAAAATTAAATAATACTAAGAAAATGAAACTGAGGAGGGCGTAGTGTGAGCGAAGACTGCGTTAAAAAATATATATGAAGATTTTAGTTCTTGAAAGTGTCCGCTAGGGGTGCTGTACGTCATACATTTAATGTCACATTTTTACGCAGTCGATATCGAATGCGTTGGACGTAAACTCACACTACGCCCCCTGAATATTATTGGGATAAGACTCCCAGACAATTTCTTTATAAAATATGAAGAGTCGTAGGTTTGGTTTCCAGGTGGATTATACCTAAAGAAATACCTACTAGAAAAACATTTTGTTTGATGTTTGTTTAGGACATTTCTAAGGAGATGAGACTCGCTATTATTTATTCATTTAAGGATAGCACCCAGCACAATATTAGATTACAATGTATTTTAGTGAGATTTTGTAGGTCATTTTGGACTATCCAACATAAAAAAAATCTACATAATGACAATAATGCATAGGAAAGTTTTTTATTTTATTTTTTTGTATCCGTAATGGCTGTATCGTGTGCTGCCTGTGCTTATGATTCCTTTCTTCTTTTTATTTTTTCTCACGTTAAAGGTTAACAAAGTTCACACACATAGGTCTCAGACGCAAAATTCAGGTCCCTACCTAAAATTAGCAACATAAAGCGTAATATAGTAGAGTTTGCGTAAATTACTTTCGCTATTACATTGTCTTTATTCTGCACGCAATTTTGGCTTAGACACACATTTATCTAGCTTATACTCGTAGTTCTTTGTAATATGTATTTCATGGTTCAGGTAAGCCTCGCCCATGTCTGCCCTTCACACCTCATAAGTAAGATGGACTCTATCCCCCTGATTCCATAAACTGAATGCGTTGCTATTTTTAGGGCTGTCAGAAACTATACTAAAGTTTTTATTTGAATAAATCAAAGAATATATTATCCACCACAATTGGAGTTCTAGTCCATTCACATATTAGTTAAAATTCTAGTTTCTGAATTTATTTAGAGCTTGGTCCCTACGAGACAGACGCCCGTATTCACAAGCATTACTAAGAGTTCTCCCAGTGCGCATGGACGCACAGGGTGACACACGAACCAATCACAGAGCTCTATTCAACGCTGTGCGTTCGATTTGCTGCTTCACTTAAGCAAGGATCGTTTGTGAATACGGGAAGGACTCGTCAAGTGTGTGAATCAACTTTCTCCCACATACATAATTTACTCGTATATCCCGACATAAAATAATGTGTCACATATTGAAAAAAAAAAATACTTAAAAGATATAAGTATTTGTGTACAAGTTACTTACATTTTGCAACGAGGAAGCGATGAACAATACGTAGACACTTGTGCCTCCCAAACATACTCCCGCCATGGCGAAGTCCGCAAAATGCCTGCAACAATCATACAAAGGTACTCGTATACAGTGTGTTAGGTAAATGGGTATATGAGCCGACACTGGTCCATCTATACTTATAATAAATCTGTAGAGAGGTCAATTCTGTACATGAAATATATTTTCAAAATAACTATCAGGGGGTGATTAGTGATCGATACTGATGCCAAAAATGCAATCAGTAAAATTTTTGTCTGTCTGTCTGTCTGTCTGTCTGTCTGTCTGTCCGTCTGTATGTTCCTTATAGAAACAAAAACTACTCGACGGATTTTAACGAAACTTGGTACAATTATTCTTCATACTCCTGGGCAGGTTATAGTATACTTAGGAATTCCCACGGGAACAGGAATTAGCGGGAAAATCCTTTTATATGAAAAATCTAAACCGCTTACGTTAGACGCTTGAAATTTGCCATAAAGGTACCTTAGTAAACTTAAAGCTTAGTTACAACAGGATATTGCAAAATTCCCACGGGAACGGGAGTTAGCGGGAAAAAACATTTGTATGAAAAAATCTTAACCGCGTAAGATAGATGAAGGGGGTAAAACGGGATCCAAGCGTACGAAGTCGCGGGCGGCCGCTAGTGTTAACATAAATGCATATAAATGGTATGATGAAGTCAGAAATTTGATATTTTATTTATTTTAATTTTCATACAAATCTGATTTTCAAATTTTATTTTGTATGAAAAGTTACGATATTATAACAATATCGATAGGTCTACCTTTGTATAATAATACATCTCTATCTATGAAATAGTTTGAAAAATTGTTCTTTTTTTAAAATAGTTTGCCCTAAATAGCGCCCGTGTCGTGTAATTCTTTTGCTTTGTTGTTAATTGAACCACCTAGTTAATTGAGTTTCTATTCTTTAAATACCGCAGCATTCAATTGTAATCACGTTTCGGAATACGTAATGTAAGACGCCCCTTACACAATGGACTGACGACCTTCAGGAATAAAATGAAAAGCGGGAAAACGGATTTTTTCAGAAGCATTAAACAACGTCGTATTGAATTTCTACGTTGAAATTGAATAAACTAGGATTTGCAGGCTGATGATATTAAACTCTCCATAAAGCACAGTATGTTGAATATTACTATTGGCTTTCGACTTTATTAATTGAATTAGGTTCAAATTATATCTCCCAGACACGGACAGAGAAATGGCTGGATCCAAAAGCACCGAGTAATTCAAATTAAGCAAAATTCCAGCTCATCTGGAGCGCTTGCATTCAGCTAACTAAATACGGCGTGGTGAAGCTCAAAATAACCAGTGTTATTTGAATAACATTTGCAACTTTAACGAGGTTACGTTACATTGTATCTGTAACCTTATTTGAATTAAATTCAAATTAGTGAGGTAACCCTGCAATACAAAGGTGTAGCAAAATACCTTATCTGTAAGATTACCCCTTCACGCATAAACGAAGCGTGGGAGATTTTTAGGTTCAATGTCAATGTCACACATCGGACATTGTGTCACCTTGAATAAGACACAGGACCGTATCGAAACGAAGATCAAAAGTAGAAAGAAATTAGCATAAATTCAAGTCTTTGAATGGTTGAATGTCAATTTAGACCCAACTCGAAACTATCAACGTTATTTAAATCTGAAGTGAGGTCGACTTTCAACAGTCCGTTTTATGCATAAAATCTAGATTTTATCCCTTTTAACACAGATAATATAATACCTTATAATAAGCGCATCATAGGAGTAATTAAACCCGCAACCTCAAGATTATAAAGTACAAATATTACCAATGAATACTTATTAATACTTACTAAATAATTTATGATTAACTCAAAAGTACTCCCTTATACCAAATTGTCAATTAGTCCCCAAAACCCAGTTTCCCATTTGATAAATTTTATTCAAATTATTTATTAATATAAGGTCGTTTCAGGGCACTTATATAGGTCCTAATACAGTCACTTTTCTTCACCTAATTTAAAATAATCATCTTAAATACCTACACGTGACTTCTGTTGGCAATTTGGAGCAGACCCTCTTCACAGGGGACTCCAATTGTTTGGAGACTGCGAATCGAATTAAGCACTTCCATGAATTGGTGCTTGTGACTTCAAAACGTCTTCGCATTGGATCGGAAATATCAAATATACTATTAAATACAGGTTCTCCTAGATATTTTCTAGATTTTACCCGAGATCGTTCGCGTTGAACTAAGCAAAAGAATATAGATAATAGAAAATCTGTTCTTTATCTACCTTAACGCATTGATGGACAGTAACGTCCACGGGCGTTCAGGTAGTAAAGAATGATATCACAGAACGCCTATTAGACGTCATGGTTTTTACTCGTTTTACATTGACACTACGCCCATAGGATGTATGCGAATAAGTAGAGTCATTTAATATAATAATAATAAGTAGAGGCCTGAAATACAGGGCGGCCCTAGTTTAGGCTCCAGATCGCACACTCAGAAAAACAATTATTGTTATCTTTCAAAAATTTTTTGATGTACTAGCCCTTTCGGACCCGCGCTTAAACTAGAAATAAATTTGTAATTTTGAAGATGTATTTTAGGTAATTTGGGGCCGCAGATTACGAATCTGCTATAATTTTCCAGATTTTCCGCCGCCATCTTGGAAAATTCATATACCAACAATTGTATCAAACTGGGCCCTTCACTTCCCACGTACAATTGTGAGGGTCAAAATTGTAAGGGTTTTGGAAATTTTATCAATGGCATGAATTCCGAAAAACGTATTTATAACTAGTAAGGAATAAAGAGGTTTCATTTTTATACCAGTATTTGCCATTTAATATTGATTTGTGGGCAAAACCATCTGTTCCATGAGCTCAAGAATTTTAGGTAATTTGGGGCCGCAGATTACGAATCCGCTATAATTTTCCAGATTTTCCGCCGCCATCTTGGAAAATTCATATACCAACAATTGTATCAAACTGGGCCCTTCACTTCCCACGTACAATTGTGAGGGTCAAAATTGTAAGGGTTTTGGAAATTTTATCAATGGCATGAATTCCGAAAAACGTATTTATAACCAGTAAGGAATAAAGAGGTTTCATTTTTATACCAATATTTGCCATTTAATATTGATTTGTGGGCAAAACCATCTGTTCCATGAGCTCAAAAGTAAATCCCATCAAAAACAATACTTGTCAAAAAAACCAAGTCTCGCAACTCAGTTGTTCTACGGTAAAAAGTTGTGAGATCCATGTAATACCAAGTCCAGGCCAGGAAATCTTTAACGTTTTACATAAATATATTGACTTGGCCATCGCACTAAATAATTTAATTTACACGTGTTTTCATGCGATGGCCAAGTCANCGAAAGGGCTAGAATGAGTGTCTGATAAAATAAACAATTTTTATTTATTTATTTGGGAAGTAATTAACTTATACTGTCCACCAAAGTGCTAATCTAATTTTTGTGTTTGCTTGACAGCAAGCTATACTCGAGTCTGCTTATAAAGGAAAAATGTCTACAAAATTTGTAAGCACAGAAAAAATGATTTTTTCCCTAAAGCCAAAAAAAATTCAATATAATCAATCACACACAGGCATATAAAAGATAATATAAAAGATACAAGAAAGTATCGTTATACAGATATTAATTTTATTATTTTTCCCTATCTATTCCTTATTTTTATGTGTAGCGAATGCGTGGACAATGAACAATCATATGAATAAAAGACAGCCTTGACCTGATTTCATGATTACTCTTTCGAGGTACGTTTATGTATGTTTCATTATGATTAGGGAGAACTTTCTTCGGGCAAACAGGTGGTTGATTAGTGGTATGACCAGGCCTGTTCATCTCCGCGAGTTTACATCGAAAACAAAACAAGCACGATGGCACCCTACAGGATTACTATTCGACAAGGCCTCACATACGAGCGAGCATTGACTCACGCACGCGTATTCTTGTGTATGATGGAAAAAAATAAAGAAAATGGTGTACTAAATACTGTGCACTATTTAACTGCCTAAATAATAATAAAAACACAGAATGTACTTTTTTAAGTTGCCTGAAGATACTGAGAGGTAAATAAGTGGTTAATATTATTCATGATAATTCATGCTTAAGCATGTATTTCCTCCGCCATTTTCCGCAGTTTGGCACCTTACGTCACTCATCATTTTTCCGAAGTCAGCCCTACGCAGTACCGATCACTGACGTTTGTTAACAAAATGGTGCTTGACTCTTGAGACAAGCTCTAAATTACACCATATTGTTAATGACATTGAGCATATATTTTTTTAAATACTTTCGCGAAGTAAAGCTTCTGTACGTAGTACTTATTATTATTCTGTGGTATGACTGTTGCGTAACTTAAGGCCTAGGTATATCACTGAGCTCGTTTGCTTATATCTAGATCTAATTTGATGGTAAAGATCTACGATACGAACGCTTTATTTAATGCTAATATCGCAATTTTATTTACAACCAGGAGCAGAAAGATAAATCTATTTTGATAGCAATTTTCGGGCTAGATTTAAGGATAAATAGTATTCTATTTATCCCAAAATCTAGCCTAATTTTGGCGGTCTTTACACTGAAAGCAATTTTGTCCATACAACCGGTTAAAAATCAAAATAGCTAAGTCAGCGGAGTGGGGGAACGCGTTTTTTAAAAATAAAATAAGGTAATGGACATTGTACCTAGCGATAAATATGTAAGTGACATCGTTTACCTCTTATATACACTATTGCTCAATATAACAGATTCGTTCATTTCAGCCGCATAATGTCTGTATTTATTTATAATTAATAATAAATAGACATAGTAACAAATTGTCATCTACAAGATGCTGCGAGACAGAGAATAATTATTTTGTTCTGAGAATTGAGTTATTATCAATATTACAGTTATTGTACAAAACATAATTGAAGGACATCTGGGTTGTCTGGACGAATGTTACCGCAGTCCGGTCATTAAAAGTCATAGGCAAGTTGTTTCAATTTGAAGATACAAAAACTTTTAAATTGACCTTTGAAAGTATTCGTGAACTTTATTAACTGTTGTAATTTCAAATTGATTGGAAGCAATTTTGACTATTTTAATTGTAGAGCAATCAATTATCCTTGTAGGCTTTACAATTTCTTTCTTTATAAAGTTCCAAAAATATGTATAGTGAAAGTATTTCAATCAGTAGGCAATCAATGAAAAGTCATCAACTCCGTTTCTTTCAGAAAATTACTATAAGGTAAGTATAGACTAACTCGAGCATTTCTATGTAATGTAACGTTCTTGCGAATGGTACAATACAGTGTAATGTATGGCGTATTTCATAGAGCGGCTCGTAATTCTGTAACAAGTAAGAGTAGGCGCACACCGTTGATTTTTCGTCGGCCGATAGTTTAGTCGGGCAGTTGATCAGTATGGGCATGTATGGGAGTGCGCACACTACGCCGATTCGATTTGGCCGATTCTTCGTACAATTTAAAATCGGGCATAACTATCGGCCAACTAAAAATCAACGGTGTGCGCCTACTCTAAATGCTCTAGTCTATACCCATCTTTAATGTTTAAACAGTTTGTGTGATTGAGTCATGTCAAACGCCTATTACCTATTATTATAACCCCAATTACAACCCAGGCTATCAGAAGTGAAAATGCCATGAAAACCATCGAGATATGGCAAATAAAAGATTAAGGTAGGAGTTAAAAAAACATTTATTCCAAAAGACATTACTTTTACAAGAAGTACGTTTTAAAAGTCGTTTTTGCAATTTATCGCCCTCCATTTGCAAACGATTGGTTTGGCTTTTTAAATAACAGGGACGAAAAGAGCAAAAGGCTTATGAAAAACTACCGTTGGCGCTCGTATGGCACTTATTATGGAATTGTGATGAAGCAATAATTAAATTCTTACTTTATTAGACTAAAAACCAAGATAGTAGAGTCCACAAGGTAATAAATTATTTCAAAGTAGACACAACACAATCGTAAGTAAATATTTTATAAAAAAAAATATTTTTGTGATCTTTTAAACTTTCTCATTATTATTTTGGGTTTCCTGACATTAAGTTATTGGAATTCTGAATTGAATATGAGCGACGCGATCTGATAATTTTTGTGTATTAAGTACATTACAAAAATACGAGTAAAAATATGTATATTATTTTAGTTTATGATACTATAAGGCGTTGCTGTTATTATTGCTGTCTTTCAGCTGGACGAAGGAAGGCCTTCCCCAAGAATTTCCATAACCACCAGCCATTTGCTGCTCTTAAGCGTTTTCTACGACCTTCATCATCCAGGCTAGAATGCGTACCGTGATAAATCTTACCGATGATTTTAGTCGATAAATGTACCTATGTAGGTTTATCACGTAAAAATGATGAAATAGCCTACATACACAAGAACTTTTCTGTCCCAACGGTTATCAGTTTACGAGTTATTATTTTATTAGGACAAAACTATTTAATTTCATTGACACATAAGTCGCCAAGGTTAGTTTGAAGACAGACCTCGCTCTAGTATTGACTAAGCTCTAATTTGGGAGTTTGTGACGGGCCGATCAAATATTTGCGATTATTTGCAATGTAGGTACAGACTACGCATTTTTACACAAAAATAGCCCTTTTAGCAACTGCATAAGATCCTACAGTGTTCAGCATGATGTGCTGTCATTTGTACCAAGTAAGGTTGCTTGATTGTTGAACTGGAAATTCGGTTTTAGATCCGATTCGTTTGATTAGTTTGGATTTTTGTTCATAGTTATTAGGTGTCGGAAGAGGCCTAAGATATTTTTATTGGTAACATAAACAGATAGACCATTGGTTTCCAACATTTGAGACGCGACCCTTTCGACCATAAAAAAAAATCCTGGAATGAATTCTCTCAGCAGTCGCAGGTTTTTTTATACTCAAGTACACAGATAGCCCGCGCCCCCTTTTAAAGGTCTTTGCGCCTCCCCTAGGGGGCGCGCCCCCCACTTTGGGAACCAATGCTATAGACACGATTGGACATCAATCATTTTTTGGCTTTATCTTTTCTACTTTACGTATTGATGACCGCCTTAGATGCTAAACAAACACGTTTTTGTGTTGTGTAACAAACAAGTGTGCTTTTGCAATTAAAATGTAAAGTCATATTAAAGCATTTTAAGGACATACCTATTCAAATTAGAGGCATTTGTCACTGCCGTGGCAAAGATGTGAGGCTGTTGCGCTTCTAGAAATTGTAAGAAAACTAGTAGTGGTGCGACAAGTGTGTCACAGTGGCGCCATAAAGCGCTTCTTTGTACCTTTAATTTGAAGGCACCCTTACCAAAACTTTAATAAAACTTATATGTACGTACATCCTTGAAGTTACGGTGAGTCTACTTTTCTTAAATTCGAATAGTAAATGTAAATACATATTACGTACATTACATGCGTGGAGTACCGCCGTAGCCTCACTGGTCCATACTTGAAAACCTTCTCACATGTGTCGGTGTAGCTCAGGAAAGGTGATCGGCACACCCTGCAGACGTCTCTTGAAGTGCTCACCTGAAAAAATGTATTTTATATAGGTTACTTGTTCAACACAAAACTTTAAAAATTTCCTATTGAAATCCGAACTGATACCTACGTATCATTATGGCTCTACCTTCGCTAGATATTTTAGCTTTTAACTTTTCTGTTAACCGTTCAGCGGTGATTTTTTCACATCTGTTAATGTACGAGTACGAGTACTTTCTATTAGATAAAATTTATGAACATAAAGATACTTGATGTTTAAAGCAAGCTTTTCATTTAACAAAGTTTAGTCGGAAACATTGCATCAGCCGTATTCGTCATTCCGTACCCATTAAGTGTATCTGGACTCGCCAAATATGACTTTGCCTAACGACCCTCGAAAAAGTCCGAGTAAATGTATTCACATGCAGTCACAACTTTTTTTTATTCAGCTAGCAGAGCATTTGACTTTTAACAAGTCCTTAGTTTAGGTAGTACTCATAGAGTTATAGAGAGATGCCAACTAATGCGCTAAGTTCTAAAACTCAGTGTCGCATTACAAATTCACACACAAAGTTATCAAAATAATATTTATGCGCTCATTATCCACAGCGGTATCAGTACTCAACGTTCGAATAATCTTTAGTACTACGCAAGCAATGTAAACTATTAACATTATGATGTCGCTGCTGTCATCATTGCTGTCGAGCACGAGCAATGTGTTCTGTTTATGGGCATATTGCTGTGACACCGGCCCCGCCCCCTTGTCACATCTCCCTTTAGATTCTGCGGTCTGTGGTAGTACAATACTTAGAAAAGTCGATTTTTTTTCCTGATTTTCAGATATAAGACACTCAAAAGTCAGTTGGAGCTATTTTTTCTTAGTTGAGTAACTATTTATGTAGAGTTCCAAATAACCGTTGTTAAAAAAGTTATTCCGTGGTATCAATAGAAGAAAAGAAGATAAAAATAAAGTAGTAGAGTAGAAAAGTAGCGAGGTATTAGACCCAAACAAATATGTTTACCATAAGAATGTGTCGGGCAAAGTAAACCGATACCCTTGTCAATTGTCGTAGAATTATATTTTCTTTTAACCTTATTGTTTTGTAAATAGGGACCAATCGACATTTTCTTTGGTCCAATCGAACTGGGTTCTAGAAGCGTGCGAAAACGAATTACACGAAAATGCTACGTAATTTCACACACATTAATTAGTACTAAATTAGCGAATCATGACCTTGGAACGTTTGTATTTCTTATACGAGTAGTTGTTAGTTTTTTTATCTACACAGGTACTATAAGAGTACCTATACTACAATTCTATAAGGGCGGAGTTTTCAACCGACAGATATCTTTCAAACTGAAGAATTAACTGGTCATTTTGATACATTTCCCATACTGAAACTGTCTATATGCCAAACTTATCCTTCAGTTAAAAGTTTTCTGGCGATTGGAAAATCAGCCCTAAGAGTAAGTAGATAAATCTGTGTAATTTGGTCACAGGCAACTTTTTTACTCTTTTATTACCTCACTATCTCTATGACTTGTAGTGTGGTATGGCTCATAGACTTCTCTAATCCAAATAATATAGTTTTAAGACTAAGTTTTTGGATATCAATATTTAAGTAATCACAAGTTTAAGTTGTAGAATAGAATAGAAGAGTAGGTACTTACTTGATTTTAATTTCACATAACAATACATTATTATTATCGAAATTACACAGATCTATCGTTGATTTCGCATACAAAGACACATCAAACGGATTAAGCTAGGTAAATCATTCTCTTCATTTCAATGACACAAAGCTGCTTGATTAATTTTGTCAAATTGAAATGGAAATTAACAATACAGCGAAATTTCACTCAAAGGAATAAGTTTATAGGCATTGCATTCAAGTACGGTTCGTGAATATGGATTAATTGCTAGGCATGATTGTGCTATTTAATTTTGATGTTTGAGATTTAGGACTGGGACTTTTCTCGATAAACTGTTGATATTTGTTCCCCAATAAGTATCTACCTATATGTTTAATTGGTGCATCAGTACGTTATAGTTTTTATCAGCAAAAAATAAGTAATTTGTCACCAATAAGCAATCAACAATGTAATTAGTCTGTCGCTCGCAATAAAGATAAATAAAACAATTCATGTTCGATTAAAAATAATTACATATTTGGTTTAGACGAGTGATAGGTACTTCATCTTATCGTGAGGATTTTTCATATTTTTAACAAAGCGAAAAGCAATTTGTGGTGTAGGTACAAATTAGCTTTTTTAAAACTTCCATAGAGAGAAGTCGGGGAGTTATTAATACTACCATATTAGGTCACGCCAAACTTCCAAATCTATTCGCGGAGATTATCGGTTCTTGAAAAAGTTCTAACTTAAAACGATAAGTGACTTATGCCCGTTTTCACCATCAATCCCTAATTTTTAAGTGACCCCTATGAATACTAAATTCCTGTTATGAGCTAGCATAGGGGTCACCTAAAAATTAGGGATTGATGGTGAAAACGGGCATTAGATGTTTGTCTTTTTAGGAGTCGGTTCACTACAATAGTCGATGGAGACCAAACTGCCAATCCCCCCGGCAGACTGATGCTGACACCTCACGGGTTAAAGTGTTTAAACGATGCGGGTGCTTGAGCTTAATTTTGCAACGGATACTAGAATTTGCTTAACTTGATAATACGAAATTAATTAAATACGATGTGGTTCTTATTGACATAAAGGACTTAAATTGTTTTTAATTACTGGTCAGGTCACTCAGAAAGATGCGTTCTAATATGTATAAGAAGATACCATGAAATACCTACCTTTCTTCTTTCTATTTTTTTACTTTTTTAATGTTAGTTTTCTTTCTATTTTACGTTGTGTTTTTAAAATTATGTCGTGTTACATTACATGGATGATTGACGCTAATGCTACGCGCAAATAACCCTATGAATATTTCAAATAGTAGTAAAAACTTTATAGTAGGTTCGCTAGAAACTAGAACAACACGACCGCAAAATGAACAAGTAACAAATACTTAGTTGCTTTCCATCGATCAGAATTTCTGCTGTCTTTTCGTAAAAGGTACGTATTACAATATATTGGCCATTTTCCCCAACTGGAGAGAAATAACACAAGGGATTTGTAAAAAAAATACCTGTCCTAGGAAAAAAAGGCAACGTAATCTAGGAGTAAAATAATAAACATTATTTTTGCTAGAAAATATGAGATGCTTATAGTCATAAATACGGCTAAGAAAAATTCATGAATCCTGTAGCCATTGTTGGTATGTATTTATATTACAAAAATATTAGGAAAACGTCTAGAGATATAGAAATTAGTTTATGATCTGGTAAACTTTTTTAATGTTTCTCCCAGCTTGGTGACAGAATAATTGAAAGTACTTAAAGTAGAGAGATGTTAGTTTCAGCCAAATGACGTCCACTGCTCAACAAAGGCCTCGCCGAAAAGACCACAGAGAATGTGTCCATGTTATTTACAAGACTTATAAGTAAAATTGAATAGTAAAAGTATGTAAAATTTCACTTTTGTCGATTATTTTGCGCTTTTACCCAGACACAATAGAAGTTTAATTGTTATGACGGCTACAGCAGTTCACTGCCCAGGAAAGTGTTAAAACGGCCTTTAACGTGTTGGATCTGTATCCCCAAGCAAGCCTTATAAAGTACCGGGCCACTTTTGACCCGTGAGCTCCAAAGCGTACAAATAATAATAATAAATCATTTATTGTTATATAAAAACCAATAAAAAGTCGTTGTCAAATATGTGATAAATGATACGGCACGGTTTGCCCATTTCAGTGCCGGTTACGGTGGGCCCCTGACCGGAACGGACTGGGTTTTTAGAGCTTAGACCGGACGACACCCGGATTTTTCATGACACCTGGGAAAAATCATAATTCTCACTTTAATCTCATGGCGCGCGTAGCACGTAATATTAGTATGCGTGCTTGCGATATTAAATTGTGTAAATATTTTAGAAACTGTTTCTAGCAAACAATATACCTACCTAGCTTACCGTATTACCTAATGTAAATGGCATACGAGTATTATATTTTTTACGTTCGAGTAACACTGGTTGGCTAAATTGTGGGCAACAAATAATTATATGATTAGTTGGTATTGTCTCTATGAGTAAGCTCTAACACTCTATTACGACTGGGTTAAAATAGTCTATTGTTGTTTCTACTAGTATGTACCTATATCTAACTATGGAATGTGAACTTTGACCAATTTTACATAATGTTTCCTTGCCTTTCTAGAATCAGTCTCACGACATTCCCTTTGGTGTATTTATATTATATTTTATTATTATATGGCTTGTTAGGGTTCCGTACCTCAAAAGGAAAAAAACGGAACCCTTATAGGATCACTTTGTTGACCGTCTGTCCGTCCGTCCGTCCGTCTGTCAAGACCCTTTTTCTCAGGAACGCGTGGAGGTATGAAGCTGAAATTTATATCAATTACTCAGGTCTACTGTCCCTTGAAGCTGTGAAAAAATCAAACTTCTAAGCCAACGCAATCAAAAGATACAGCCGTTTATGCCGCAAATTTTCGACACTTGCAAGGGAATCAAAACCTACAGGGTGCTTCCCGTGAACTCAGAATCTTGAAATTTGGTACGAAGCAACGTCTTATAGCATAGATAAAGGAAAAATTACGAAAACCATAAATTTTTAGTTACATCACATAATATATATTTTTTTAATAATTTTAAACTTACTACCCATTTCCTCATAAACGCGTAGAGGTATTAAATTGAAATTCATACCAAATACTCAGGTCTATAATACCTTTAAGCTGTAACAAAATCAAACTTCTATGTCAACGCAATCAAAAGAAACAGCAATTTAAGCTGCATATTTTGAAACTCGCAAGTACTCGCAAGGGAATCAAAACCTAAAGGGTACTTCCAGTCGACCTAGAATCTTGAAATTTGGCATGAAGCAACGTTTTATAGCACACATAAAGGAAAAATTCCGAAAACCTTAAATTTTTAGTTACATTACAAAATATATATTTTTTAATAAATATAAA